ATTATCGCGGCCACCGGCATTTGGGCGATCTGCTCATGCTTTTGTTACTGGAGCGCCTCTGAAGAATTTTCCGAATAATTTTCTTTTGTTACTGGAGCGTTTCTGAAGAATTTTCGGGACCCATGCTCGTTTCATACTGGATGCAAATATATGCAAGGCACACAACCTCAACGCAAGGCACCTTTTTCGGGACGAGAAATAGAATATCTTTGCCTAGGGTGATCGTTGGGCTGTAAAAGCTCCTGATTTATGCTCGTCTCAGCCCAAGCTACGGAACTGCTATTCCAGTTAAAAACCCATGTTAAAATGTGAACTATTTCCTTTAACACGCGCACCGACGGGGGGGGGCGGATATCCGCCCCCTGAAGTTTTTCGCGAATAGCGGGAAAACCGCGGCGCGTAGCGCCGCGAAATTTGGTACGACTATTCTCTCATCAATTTTACATATGGTGTGCAAGTTTGAATCTCCTAACTTTTAAGGTCAGGTCACCAGGTCACTTTGAATGACCCAACCTCAAGTCACTTTTTGCAACTTTGTCACCGTGCCAGAGCTACAGTAGATGTCGGAGGCCTTTGAAAGTTGCAGGATGTTATTAGGTCATTAGTAGCTACAATTTGTATATCTCGGAATTTTGATATCGGTGACCTAAGGTCAGGTCAATTTCTCGACCTCCCCATTATAAGTCAATGGGGGGAAAATCAACTCCCTGTTTTTACCACTAAAACGGGTCGGAATGGCCCCATAAACCTTATATGACCTCATATACGATCAACCTTCACTACCTTGAGGTCTGTTTTGCTGTTGGGCAGCTGTAAGGTCATGTGATGTCATCAAAGGTCACCAGCGGTTTTTTTACAATAACTCCGTACAGGAACAAGATACAGCCGCGCGGATGGTCTCATTGTGTTCAGCTCGTCAAGGCGCATCGAATGATATACATGATGACCTCGAGGTCACGTGACCTGAGGTCAACCTTTGACCTTGACCTTTCGAGGTCAACATATATATCATTCGATGCGGATTGACGAGAGGATCACGATGGTGCCCCTAGCTATAAGCCATTGTATGACATATACAATTACATAAATTGCATACATTTAGTGAAAGTTAAATAAACACGGTGGTTCCAAACGCCACCGTGCTGGGACTCAAATGCTGTTGGAGAACCCGACGTAGCACCTGTGCGTCCTCTTGTCAGCAGCAGAACCGTGCTCCAGAGCACCACGTCGTAAGTAGAACCGGAAACAGCAGTGTATGTGGCGTCGCATGCTAAGTAAGTTCCTGCAACGCGGTCAAATCCAGTGAAAAATACAGTGCAATGCATACATGTTGCTCTGAGTGGCTATTAGCATTACCCGCAATCCGCCACGTGGAGGCTGCCACATCGGATTGCGTCTCTATTATCGCCCGAGACCCCTCAGGTAGTGCAGAGCACACCATTTCCTGAGGGAAGACATGGCAGCCATACGGCCCCGAGTAGCACTCGGTGTGTGCTACTCGCAGCCGATTGCTGAGGGTAACCGCCCCATTGGGTGAGACAGCTCTCCGCCCCACGGTGGAGGCAGACTTGTCGAGCACTCATCTGCCGTGGATGGCCCGCATTAATTGATCCTGCTGGCTGAAAGCACACCGACGAGTCAGAGGGATAGGTACTGTTAAATCGTCAACTACGCTCGCACATTGGAGGTCACCAAACTATCCAGTTGCGGCAACATTTGAATGTGTAAGTTTACCATTTGGCGGACCACGTGCAGCTGTCTGCCCGTGGCGAATATTGGCTCCTCCAGAACGACGGCCACCCGACTGGGACTTGGGAGTCTGTCGCTAAACTTTGTTCATCATCATGGCGAAAGCTGACCTCACGGGGAACTGGCAACGCTCCCAGCGGAAGGGAAACGCGTCATCCGGGGGCAGGCAATACAAATAATTAGTATGAGTACTTTTAAATGCTGCAAACCACTAATCGCCTGGCATTAAGTATATTCACAATTACTGAAACAAAAATGTGCATTATACAAACACAAATCAGCTACCCAACTAACCTGTCTCGGGAGGCCCGTCATCCTGTGACTGGCGAGTGTGCGGCAGCGGAAACACGGAACTGCCGCATTGGCTCCGGCGGTCGACGGCTTAGGTGTGCCACAACCGCACGCCCGCCTCCATTAATCTGCCAGTGCATGTAAATGAACAAGCCATTATTGCAGCTGATCTATGTACGATGTTAACCCGCGCACGACGGGGGTCTGCGCCAACTTCGCACCGACGGGGGGAGGCGGATGACCGCCCCCCCTGAGATCTCGAGAACGAAGCAAGATAGCGACAAGCGGTAAACGGCATCGGATACGCACGGACAATGTCTACAATTTTTACAAAGGTCATTTTCAGGTCAGGTCAAAGATGACGTCACAGGGGTCGAAAAAGTCAAAATGGCGGCGCTAGACATGGAGAGTTTTTCTCGAATAACTTTCGAATTAGTCAAGAAAGGAACAAATTAAGGGCACCATCGTGATCCTCTCGTCAATCCGCATCGAATGATATATATGTTGACCTCGAAAGGTCAAGGTCAAAGGTTGACCTCAGGTCACGTGACCTCGAGGTCATCATGTATATCATTCGATGCGTCTTGACGAGCTGAACACAATGAGACCATCCACGCGTCTGTATCTTGTTCCTGTACGGAGTTATTGGCCAAAAACCTTTGGTGACCTTTGATGACGTCACATGACCTCACAGCTGCCCAACAGCAAAACAGACCTCAAGGTAGTGAAGGTTGATCGTATATGAAGTCATGTATGGTATATGGGGCCATTCCGACCCGTTTTAGTGGTAAAAACAGGGAGTTGATTTTCCCCATTGACTTATAATGGGGAGGTCGCGAAATTGACCTGACCTTAGGTCACCGATATAAAAATTCCGAGATTTACAAATTGTAGTTATTAATGACCTAATAACATCCTGCGACTTTCAAAGGCCTCCGACATCTACTGTAGCTCTGGCACGGTGACAAAGTTGCAAAAAAGTGACTTGAGGTTGGGTCATTCAAAGTGACCTGGTGACCTGACCTTGAAAGGTAGGAGGTTCAAACTTGCACACCATGTGTAAAATTGATGAGGGAATAGTCGTACTATATTTCGCGGCGCTACGCGCCGCGGTTTTCCCGCTATTCGCGAAAAACCTCAGGGGGGGGGGGGGCGGATATCCGCCCCCACCCCCGTTGGTGCGCGGGTTAATAGTGTCATGTAGTCACCAGTAAAGCGCCTTTTGGGCCGACCAACGAGAAGGTGGGCCTTGCACGTGCGAAATTGCGAGGGGGTATCTCTAACTAACTTTTGCACTGCACCCTACTAACCGGTCCCTAGTGATGTGCCAAATTTGAGCGCAATTGGGCTAGCCGTTCTCGAGATCTAGAAGCGGCACCCTGCACGTGCGCACGTGCAAAATGGGTCCCAACTGACTTTTGCACGGTACCCTACTAACCGGTCCCTAATCGTCTACCAACTTTCAGCGCAATCGATTTAGCCGTTCTCGAGATCTGGAATCAACCCCTGCACGTGCGCACGTGCAGCAGCACCCTAAATGTAGCACGTGGATATGCATTGCCTAGTAGGTGCCTAGCTACCTGCGAATTTTCGGCGCAATCGGTCCAGTAGTTAGTAGTTACCGCGATACTGCAATTGTTACAAAACTGACACCTCTTCGTTTTGCACGTGGCACGTGCATTAGGGGTCCCCCACATGCATCGGGAATAGTCCAATGCTTGGTAAAAGGAATGAAGGTACCCTACATAAGTTACCGCATGTACGAGTAGGTCGGTCAAGTGGTTGCTGAGATATAAGCCTTGCAGAAGCGTCCGCACGGCCGGCCGGCCGGCCGGCCGCTCATATTCAGAAATGTCCGTTAACTACAAAAGACTACGCTCGTTTCGCTCGCTCCGTAACAACAATTGAGAACAAACGTAAAGGGAAATTGTTAGGGCACAAAACTGGAACGGGACACGGGTACGGGAATAGCCAAAAGGGAATATAACACGGAACGGATTACGGGAAGACGGGAACGGGACTAGGAAACGGGAAAATGTATGTATAAGTAGCAAATTTAAACAAGCTTAAAAACAAAAAGGAGATTTTGTTGGTTTGGTGTACTCACGGCTGCTGGTGTTGTGCATGGTCCTGAGGCCGGCGGTGCTGGTGGTGGTTCTGCCAGTGCTGGCAGGGGATCTGAAATAATTATTTAACAACATTTTTGCTATTGTCACTACTCACTGGCAGACCCAGTGGGGGGGGGGGGAGAGGACATTTGGGATAAATGTCCTCTCCCCTCAGCGCCTAAAAACGACCAAAATCTGCGGTTTTCGGGGATAAAACGAAAGCTTAACAACTTTTACAAGGAAAGGCTTGTTTTACACTGCACAGAAGTGCCGAAAGAAGAGCAATCGAAATCCGATAAATTTCTATTTGATTTTTGTTTTTGTTTGGAGGGGCTATGAACGCCCCCTCAGAATTATAGCCGCCTTTCTGGATCCGCCAGTCGCTATGACAATTGTATTCAATGGTGCCCCATAACCGTCAATAGTGCGTCAGAAACTGCTAAATGCGTCACATTGGCCTGTGCTTACCAGAGTGGTGTGGTAGTTTTGGCCGGCTCATCTGCGCCACCGCCGCTCACCGGTCTCAGACGATCGGAGCGGTGGCTGGTGGTGATGGTGGATCTAAAATAAAAGGTGTGATTCTGATTCATATTTGATCATATTTTTACATTTATTTGCTAAGCTTCTGTAGATAACTGAACGGTTTGGAGAGAACAACCTCAGTTTTGGCATGACGGCCAAACATTTACGAAATATAAGGGTGTTAACGTCATAGTAACGGTTCTGCAAGCAAGCGAACAAACAAACAAACAAACAAACAAACAAACAAACAAACACAAACACGCAGTCCATATTTCACATTGTGTTACAAAGTTTAAAACATCATAAAGGTTAAAGTTTTTGAAACCTGGATTTTTTACTTTTTTTCTAAGCAATTTTTGCTGGTGGAGGTGCTGGTGGAGATGCTGGTAGACGATCTGAAAAACAATCAGAACATTTTTATATCTGCGTGCTATACACTGAAAGACAAAGAAGAGAGACGAGCAGAGTGTTGTCAACATTACGACGATAGTAAAACCTTTTGTCACACGTGGCAGAAGCTCGCAGGTACCCTATGTCTTTCACTAGATCCCCAGAGATTCGAACCCATGGAACATGATGCGGTGACCCTAACCACTACACTATGTATGTACATACACTACCACTCCCCTCCAGGTATGCGGCCGGCGGCCGGTAGAGAACGGAAACGTGGATGCGTACCTATTGTGAAAAAGGAGAAGAGTTTGTAACTATAGTTTAGAGGCCCGAACGATCAGTCAGCGCTGTATTGTGTCTAGTCACCAACTGCCGGCGCACAGTAGGCCAGGCGCTTCAAAAAAGCGGAATTAACCCGTGCCCCAGTGGCGGTCTCAGCCAACTTCGCCCTAGTGGGGGAGAGGGGGGGGGCATATGTAACCACCCACCTCTAACTCAAATACTAAGATGGCTAGAAAGACGCGGTAAAAAGCAGTCGATAGCTCTCAATGCGTACGTTTGAAAGTGTTTTAGTCATTTTTCACATTAGAGCAACCATTATATTTTTTCAGAAAACATGCCATTATCTCAGGAACTATGACAGCTAGAAAAACGCATGGAAAAACAATCGATAGCTTTTGACCTCTTCTTTTGATAAGGTCATCATCAAAAATGACCTCAGGTCAACGGTTTAGCCTCCAGAGGGCAAAAACTCCAAAAAAAATTGCGCCTCGGCAAGACAAACATAATGAGGCCATCCCCGGCGTTCTATCTCTTTCCAATCGATGTTCTGTTTTAACGAAAAGTGTTTTTCGACAATAACTTTTGACTAAAAAAAAAACACGACATTTCTATTGCCAGAATCGTGTTCCGCTCGCCGAGACGCGTCTAATGAACTATACTACGACCTTGAAAGGTCAATTTCAAAATTTGACCTCAGGTCAAGGTCATGACCTGACCAGAAAAGGTCACGTTGCATATCAGTCGATGCGCCTCGGCAAGACAAACATAATGAGGCCATCCCCGGCGTTCTATCTCTTTCCAATCGAGAGTTATTGGCAAAAATCTGTTTGTGGCCTTAAATGACCTAGTAGGATGACCTTTCTAGAGGCTATCAGCAAAACAGACACCTTGGTCGTCACGGGTTATCCAATCAGCAAATGTCAAATTGATGGGAGAAAGGGTACTGAAAGTTTCGCCTTCTTATCCCTAAGCGTTCGGGAGAGCTATCACAAATATTCGCCAGAGGGGCCACCTCCCCCGCCAGGCCCGCGAGGGTTAAAAGCTGAAACATAATGTTTATGTTTATGTTTATGTTTAAACATAATATGTACCTAATTAATGCCTAACAGAGATAAAGCGGCATTCATTTTGCATTGCCCGCTAATCGTGTAGGTACTTCCCGGAGCCCCGGAACATGACAACTAGTGCTTACCCTCGTCAAGCTGCGTCTCCAGCTCCCTCTCCAGCTCCTTCCGCAGCTGCCTACGCATCCTCCTGCTGCCCCTCCAGCCGTTCCTCCAGCTGCCCATCCAACTCCTTCTGCAGCTCCACCTGCAGCTTTTGACGTCTGCTGCTGCACTCCTCCAGCATCCGTTCCAACTCCCCTTCTAATCGGACGCTCGGGAGTCTCTTCTCCAGCTCTTGTGACTCCTGTTGGTGTCGGCGCTCCATTTTGTTCCACTGTTTTCGGAGTTTCTTCCCAAGGTCTGTCCACTGTGCGGCGTGCTGCTGCTCCATAGTTTCCCACTGTCTCCGCTGTCTGCGCTGTCTCCGAGCCTGCTGTTTCCGCTGTCCTTTGGTCACGGATCTCTGCAGCTGTGGCTGTCCCCTGGTTGGCACGTGCAGGCATTCAGTGTCCTCTTCATGCTGCTGATGAAGCTCAATGCGCTCCTCATAGTGGCGTTTGCCCAGGTCCTGCCACTTCTCACCGTGTTTCCGATCCAGATTTCGACGCTCCTCTTCATGCTGTTTGTCCATCCTCATTCTTTCTTCGTGTCCTGGGTACTCCAGCTCCTGCCAAAGCTGCTGATGTTGCAGTTCCAGCTCTTTCCACCGCTGCTGATGCTGCTCCTCGATCAGTTGCCACTTCTGCCGGTGTGGGTGAGGCAGACCCGCTGATGTCTGCTCCTCCTTATCCCTGTGCTGCTTCACGTCTTCGACCTCTCCGTCGCGGTCACCCCGCGTCGAGTCTGGAACACAGCAGGTCAGACAGAAGTCACACACTGGGTGGACGGTTGATAGTCAAAAGTCAACCAAATCGAAAGGAAAACTGGATCACTATTCAAAATGCAACACTGAGGGGGGACAACAACGACCTCTCTTCTAACTCGGCTCCTGGACCATGTAGCGACACGGAGAAGGCGGCGTTCGAAAGAGCGTCAAAAATAATGACGAAATTACTTTGATATGGTTTAGTGAGATCAAAGGTGAGGTCACCAAAGGTCAGCAAAGGCTACATTTTGCCGTTTTTCAGGTCAAATATAGACAATTTCAACCCGCGCCAGGCCGGTGCTGTGAGATTCCGCGCCGGGCCGGGGGGGGGGCGTGTGTCTGAACACCCCCCCCCTTCTAACTCGGCTCTTAAGCCATGTAGCGACACGCGGTAAGCGGCAATCGAAAGAAAGTCCAAAATAAGGACGAAAACCCATGGTCATTTTTTTGGTCAGGTCAAAGGTCAGGTCACCAGAGGTCCCCAAAGGTAAAATGTTGACTGTTTCAACATTTTGGAAACTGCCAACGGCTATCTCGGGAACCGATAGAGCTACAGCGCCGAGGAAAAGCGCATTCGATAGCCCTTTTACAGAACTTTCTGAGAAATGTACTCAGATTTGACCTCAGGTCAACGGTTTAGCCTCCAGAGGGCAAAAACTCTAAAAATAGCTGTTTTTACGAAAAGTGTTTTTCGACGATAACTTTTGACTAAAAAAGCAAGGATATTTCTATCGCCAGAATCGTGTTCCTCTCGCCGAGACGCGTCGAATGAACTATAATTTGACCTTGAAAGGTCAACTTCAAAATTTGACCTCAGGTCAAGGTCATGACCTGACCGGAAAAGGTCATGTTGCATATCAGTCGATGCGTCTCGGCAAGACAAACACAATGAGGTCAACCCCAGCGTTCTATCTTTTTCCAATCGAGAGTTATTGGCAAAAAACTGTTTGTAGCCTCAAATGACCTCGGATGACCTTTCTAGAGGCTATCAGCAAAAACGACACCTTGCTCGTCACTGGTCGTCCAAATCACTGTGATTCTGAAATATTTGGACTGTTCCTATGCGTACACACGGATCTGGAGCCATTTTCGTTTTTCTCCATTGACTTATAATGGAAAGGTCACACCACTGACCTGACCTTAGGTCACGCATATAAAAAATCTGAGATATACAAATTCTAGGCACCCATACCATCATGCAATCCACTAAGTTTAAAACCTCTCTGACAAACAATGCAGGCTGGACATGATTGCAAACTTTTTTAGGCTTGGTCAGTTAACTTGACCTGGTGACCTGACCTGACTTGACCTGGGGTCAAAAATTTCACACATTGTCCAAAATTGATGTACCAAATGCTACCCCAAGCGGCCCGCGGTTTTTTATTCACACGCAAAAAACGCGACAGGGTGGTAACATATGCCCCCCCCCCCACTGGGGCGAAGGTTAATTAACCCGCGCCCCGTAGGGGAGGGCCGAAACGGCCCCCCCTGTCCTTTTCGGTCGATATCTCCTAAACCGCTTCAGATATCGCCACCAAACTTTCAGGACCCCTCCGGGCATCAATTTTACACATTGTGACCAAAAATTTTTCCAGAGGCTATGATAGGTTGGCCACAAATGACGTCAGAATGACGTCATGTTCTGTCATTTTCGACCGAAAAAAAGACCTTCGCGAGAAGACCTGTCAGACCTACAGTTTTGAAGATACAGAAAAATGATCAAGACATAAAAGGTGTAAAATTGACAGGGCTACAAAACTACAATCTCGGATTTTTGAAATTTTAGTGTTTTGAACCCCAAAAATCAAAAAAACTTTTTTTTTGACATATTAGCCAAAAAATCCAAAAAGTTTTTTGAGTTTCAAAAAAACCAGAATAAATGTGATAGTACCTACCGTCTTCTATCTACATACCGAATTTCAGATCGATACCTCGTTTTTTGGCCAAGTTATAGCGAAAAACTGTTCAAAATTGATGACGTCAAATTTTCAAACTCAATTTTTGGCAGTTCTAGACCTCGTAGAGCAAAACAAAGACCACCATTAGACTCCCCGTGACGAGCTGCATCGAATCGATACCCATTTTATGCAAAAATATCAACTTTGAAATTTGACCTTATTTGACCTGACCTTGACCTGACCTTCACCAAAACGTGACCTAGGCTGGCCCCAAAGGCTGTCTAACCCACATAATCGCATTTGTCATGTAAAATGGACCATAAAACATGTATCACACGACACTTTCATATTGTGACTCCGGTGACCTGACCTCGCTGTGACCTGACCTGGTATCAGTGACCTCAGATAGCAAAGTATGTGTTTGACGAACAATGTACCATCGATGGTTCTCAATAAATTACCAATTAACTCGATTTCACAACACATTTCTTGAAATGCCTGTGAACGGTGAAAATCTGACCTTTGACCTGACCTGTGACGTCATCGGTTTGACCTAGGTCAATGAAATTTGGTCACAAGGTAGTTCCCGGGTGGGGCTATCGAACGCCGTTTGAATTTTGAAAATCGGCCGGTAACTTTCCGAGATCTTAGGGGGGGGGGGGGCAAAACGCCCCCCCCCCCCTACGGGTGGTAGGGTCCGCCGGTAGCCCTACGGGGCGCGGGTTAACATGCGCACCGACTTACTCTGCGCCAACTTAGTACCAACGGGGGGCGGATGACCGCCCCCCTGAGATCTCGAGAACGAAGCAAGATAGCGACAAGCGGTAAACGGCATCGGATACGCACGGACAAGGTTTACAATTTTTCATTTTTTTCGTGAATTACAATTTTTCTACATTTTTTTCGTGAAAGGTCACACCACTGACCTGACCTTAGGTCACAGATATCAAAATTCCGAGATATACAAATTGTAGCTACTAATGGCCTGCGATTCTGGCCATCCTGCGATTTTCAAAGGCCTCCGACATCTACTGTAGGCATGGGTGAAACTTTGACATCACCAATGGGGTCCCAAACGTCATAGGGGGCCTCCATTTAGTGGGGGCCTCCAAGCAATTAGGGGCCTCCAATTGCGGAAGCGGTAATTTACGAACCACGCCAGGGCCTCCTCTAAGAAATTTTCACTGGGGGACCGGAGGCTCAGAAGCCAAGCCTAGGGTATCCCCAAATCCAGTTTTATCATCGGATTTAGGCCACTTATTTTTCGTCACAGCCCGGATGCCATGATTTTTGTCAATATTAATAAAGAAATGGTACTTCACCTGACCCATACTGGTGGATTCAGGCCAGCAGGGTGACATTGTATGTAAATATGCCCGTGGCGTCCGAAATCGATGAAAATTTCTGGCATTTTCACTTTCGACGATAAAACAAAATGCCTTTATTATAGAAAAAAGAATTTAATGGCACAGTATTGCGCAAGGAATCTAACCTATACCCCAGAAAGTGTGCGGCTTAATCCTCGCCCGCACCTGGGGGGGGGGGGGTGCCACCCCCAAGTTAGTTTTCCTGCTCTACACTGAACATTTTTAAAGCTAGAAACCCGATTTTTGGATAGCTGCTTTTCTATCTTTTCTCAGCGTCACTTTGAAAATTTCAAGTTTCTGTGGCTTTTGGGTTTGGAAATATGACCTTGTTCTTCAGGTCATGTCATTACCTAAATGAGGAATACCCAACATCTTGCGTTCAGTGTTGGCTATGGGCCTTGTGAGCTTTTGACACCTTGATTTCCGCTTTTTTTTGCCAGTCTTACCTCCCACCTATCATTGAACATGTTGTTCTGCGATGTACAGATGTCAGGGTCAGGGTTAAGGTCAACCTAGGTCATCTAAAATTATTTTCGTTAAGTTTCTTTGACTGCATGTTTAGTAAAAGCTTCTCAGTTCATGATCTCATGTAATAAGGACACACAACCCAATCTGTGCAGTGTGCACACATCAGTACATACACAGACATACACAGACATACAAACACATATCATTGACCTTGACGTAACTTGACGTGAGATGACCACAGCCAGCAAATTAGTCGGATAGTGTGACAAAGAGCTGTTCTAGCTGGCTTGGCACCAATACGGCAGTGTCATCGGTATATGATGGGTTGGCCCGCTGCTTGTGTAGGTATTTTATTCGACATCACCACAATTTATTCAAACAAGATTTTAAGCTTCGCGGTCAAGAGCAACAGATTCTTTGGGAAGAGACGAATCCAATGATACCAAATTTAACCTCATCAGGTCAGTAATTGACTTTCCAGGTCAGGTCAAACTAAAGAATGTTGCTGTTTGAGGTCACCGTTGCCCGTTGGAATATCACGTGCGCTGCTCATCATATACCGATGACGCTGCCGTATTGTGGTGCCAAGCCAGCTAGAACCTCTTTGTCACACTATCCGACTAGGCTGTGGTCATTTCAGGTCAAGTTAGGTCAAGGTCAATGATATGTGTTTGTATGTCTGTGTGTGTCTGTTTGTATACTGATGTGTCCCTATAGCATGAGATCATGAACTGAGAAGCTTTTACAGTCAAAGAAACTTCACGAAAGTCAACTCAGCTTGCCTAAAACGCAATATTTTTAGATGACCTAGGTTGACCTTGATCCTGGCATCTCTACATCATCAAACAACATGTTCCATGATAGGTGGGAGGTGAGACTGGCAAAAAAGGCCGAAATCAAGGTGTCAAACGCTCACAAGACCCATAGCCAACGCAGGATATTGGGCATTTGTCATTTGGGTTATGACATCACCTGAAGAATAAAGTCATATCTCCGAAACCAAAAACCACAGAAACTTGAAATTTTTAGTGGACGCTAAGAAAGGATAGAGAAGCAGATATACGAAACATTCGGCTTCTAGCAATCAAAATGTTGAGTGCAGAGCAGAAAAAACTACCTGGAGGGAGGGAGTGGCAACCACTGCCCCCCCCCCCCCATGTGCGGGCGAGGATTAAATAATTTGAATATCAGGAAAACAATTTATTCAAACAGGCATTCCAACAGAGTACCGCTTTTTTATAGGTG